CGTGGGAGGCCGGGCGGGGGCCCGACACGGTGCGCACACGGCCTGTGCCTCGCCCGCCCCTCTCCTCCTTCCGTCGCTCCTGCGGGGAGTGAGTTACGTTTGCTTTTCTCGCCGCCTCCGGAAACAAACGCTCAGGGCCCAGAGGGGACATTTATTACGTGTCCGCCCCGGAGCCTGGCCCCACAGTTATGATGAGCATCATGACATCTAATGATCACAGAACACACTCACTGCAGGACCTCGAGACGGACAGGCAGCCCGGCCGCTCACCCACCGCCGCTGTCCACGGGATGCGCCTGGACATGGGCCGGCTCTGCGTCTCGTCCGTCCTGGATCCTGAAGTGTGAGCCCAGGGGGACCTGCCAGCCCGTTGGGACCGGCCTGTCGCCAGGAAGGTCTGGGCGTAAGCTGTGTGTCACCGCCGGTCCTGGAGACACTGGGCAGTGGTTAACCTCAAGTTCCGATGGCCTGTCTGCCAACCACACTGCGGGCCTGTGGCGAGGATGGCGTGATGGACAGAAAGCCCGACCCGGGGGATGCGTCCCAACGGGCCAATGAGAGCGCCAGACCCCGTGCTGTGGGGCTTCGGGCAACACACACGGGAACATTTGCCGCCTCTTGGCTGCTGTGGTTTTGACCGTCTGCCCCTGCAGGTCTGTCCCATCCCGTTTCCCGGCAGGAGGGGGTTACACAGCCGCAGGGTGGATCCCCGTGAGCGGCAGGTCAGGAGTCGAATTCTTAGTCACTCACTTCGGCTGCCTGGAGCCGCCTCGGGGGGCAGAGGGGCTGTGTGTGCCGGACGTCGGACGCGGTGCCTTATCTTCCCAGGACCTGCCCCATCTCAGCCTTGAAAAGGGCATCCCTTCCCTTCCCTTCCAGCGGCTGCCAACGATCTCTGAAACTCACGGACCATCCTGACGCTCGTGAACGCGCAGTCGTGGCAGCACGGCTGTCTGAGAGCTCAACGTCAGACCGGAAACCGAGGAAGCCGAACGTAACCTCAGCCCTTCTATAGTCCCCACCTCAAGGCACACACGGTGGTCTGGCGGCATGGCAACCCGCCCCTCCTCCTGTTCCGGCGGCTGCCAACGATCTCTGAAACTCACGGACCATCCTGACGCGCGTGAACGCGCAGTCGTGGCAGCACGGCTGTCTGAGAGCTCAACGTCAGACCGGAAACCGAGGAAGCCGAACGTAACCTCAGCCCTTCTATAGTCCCCACCTCAAGGCACACACGGTGGTCTGGCGGCATGGCAACCCGCCCCTCCTCCTGCACCTCACTCCGAGGGCTCGAGGGGTCTGTTCTGAGTGATTCTCAGGCACATTGATTCTAGATAAAGGGTGTCCCAAAATTCACGCAAGATTTGAATTTTGCGTGAGCATTAACAACAACAACAACAACAAATAAAAGCCTAATTTTACTTAGTTTATTGAATCAGATTCTAATATCTATTGCGCTTTGATTTCAATCCCTTCAATTCGATAAGCATCACCAAGTACCAATGATGGCCCAGGAGCAGGGACAATGAAGACCAATGAAGACCACGGCTTGGCGTCTGTGCCAGCAAAGCCGTGGAGGCCATTTACCTGATGTGCTATTCCATACATAACCCTATACTGTATACTTCATGAATCAATAAAAAATTTACAATTTTTAATTATAAGCCTGTGTTTTCTATCACAATTACTTCTTGCGTGAATTTTGGGACACCCTTTAAATCTCGGCGTCGCTGTGTCTCAGAGACTTCCTACCGACAGAGTCCAAGGGACAGGGTGCCCCTCCCGGCAAAGTCCCAGCAGAGCCGGGGTCCCCAGCCTCTCGGCGCCCCCACGGCTGACACGTCCACGTGCTGGAAACACGTACGTGTGGACAGTCACGGCCACACGGGCTGCCCCGACCACTGCGGCCCGGCCAGGGAGAGCCACGCCCCACGCTGATTTTCACGTAAAGGATCTTCTGAAACATAGTACAGACGCCCGGGAGCTGAGCCGGGAAAAGAACCCTTTCCCACCTGCTGGAACAGAACGGAGGTCTGGGAAGAGACGTTACTGTGAGGACCCCTGTTAACTTCCTGATTCAGGGGGGAAGCCCCAGGGGCCTATTCCCAACACGACGGGGCATAAGAGCATTTTCTTAAAGGAAAACATAACAGGAAGGAAAGGCGTCTCAGGGAAATAGCAGGGGTTCTTGTTTTTAGACGTTGTCCCTACAGGGTCCCGTGCAGCACTGGGTGGCTAAGCATCATTTGGAAAGAAAGCGCATCGGCGATCTAGTTGCACCTGCAGAGGAGCGCTGTGCCCGTGGGCCGCCAGCTGCGCGTTCCTCGTGCTCAGTCGCTGCTGAAGTGAGAACGCTTTTCGAAGGAACAAGGACGGGTTAGGATCGGGAGCCGACGAAGGCCCGTCCGCAGGGCTGCTGCTGGCAGCCCGACGCCCAGGGCAGGGACTCACCCGTCTCACCCTGACCCCTTTCTTTTCTGGTCAAAGGGTCCGTCTGGTGGGGAGGGAAGTCAGATAGGGTCGCTCCTCACCACAACCCTGTCAGCAACACTGGCTGCGTGGGGACGATTTCTGCTCACCCCCGTGGCTGAATCCCGTCGCCTTTCAAAACGCTGGCAGGGTCGGCAGAGAAGGCCAACCCCGCGGTGCACGTGGCCAGCGATGCCACGAGAGAACAAGAAGACGAGGTGACACAGGGAGTCCCGAGGAGGACAGGAGCGGGTTTAAATGGCCCTAAATGCAGACCCAGGGATCGCCCCGAGAAGGTCATGCTACTTGGAAGGAAAGTATCATTTCCCACGAGCCCATCCTCTCGCCCTGGACGAGCCGTCCACCGAATGCACCGCACACCGCGTCCCGGCGTTGGAAGAGATCAAGATGCACATTTTGGACGAGTGTCCATCACTAGGAAGCACCGGGAAAGCCACGGCACCAGGGGCCGCTTCCGAAACACGCCTGGGACACACCTGTGGCCGAGAGGCGGCCCCGCAGAGTCACGCTTGCGGTTTCTGTCCGTCCACCAAGGGCTGCTGGACAGACAGGCCACCCAGCAGCCCTGAGCACGGTCACTTCCGGGAAACGTCTGGGAATTTGACACTCAAAGGAAAGAGCCTCCTCCGGAGACACAAGTGTGAGAGCTAATGGCACGCCCCCTCCCTCCCCACCTGGCTCTGTGCACAACGGCCACACGCCTCCTGGGAGTGCACGTGCTAACCCCGAAAGGAAAAGCATCACCCCGAAACCCCTACAGGTCTCAGGTCCCCCCCATCCCACCGCGCGACCGACACAGAGGAGACGCTGGGAAGTGGCTCTGCTGCAGGAGGACGAGATGCCGTCCCCGCTGGTCGCCGCCCTCCCCGCAGGCCTCTCTCCCTTACGGGTGGACGAGCCTGCACCTTGGGAAGGGCTCTCCCTGGGCCGCCTCGTCTGCACTCGGCCTGCTCCGCCCGGGAAACGGTATCGCAGAGCAAACACTCGCTGACGTCAGTGGTCCCGCAGCGCCAGCGAGCTGGGTGCGCTATCTCACTTGGCACGGTGGGCGCTGGGCAATTGTTGTGCTCCACAGTGCTGTTGCCACTGCCAGCTCACTAGCCCTGCGGGGTGCGGGCAACTGGCCTGCTTTATTAATTGCAAATTTACTGATTGCAAATAACACCTCTGCCGTGACGGCATCCGAACAGTCCTCCTATTTATTTACATTTTCCGAAGAGCGGATCTCGGAAACAAACCCCCAACGGACGCTGGAGACAGGAAGCACTTGAGACAGCCTGGCCTGCACCTGGCTTGGTGTGTGTGCGTGCGTGTGCACATGTGTGTGTATGTGTGTGCACATGCGTGTGTCTTCCAGCCTAAGGGGCAGGTAAGGAAACAGCACAGCTAATCAAACTAGTATCATCTGCATGTGTCTCTCCACGGTCCACATCCCAGGGAGCAGTGCCCTCGACCTGGGGCATTGTGACCATGTCTTCGGACTCTGCAGGCCTGGGCAGTCCGGGACCGCGTGTCCAACCAGCGCCCGGGCTGCTGGCCTGCGGACCCCCTCTGAGCACAGAAGCGAAGCCAGGACGGGTGGGGCTGGGTTCTGCCGGGGGCGAGGTGGGCAGGGGGCGGCCCAGGTACTTACCCTGCATCTGACTCTGAGGCTGAGGGTTAAAGGCAGTGGAGTGGCTCAAGGAGGCGCG